CTTTCCCTCACCTCCATGGTAAATATTCAGCAAGGTAATGCTTGGGTTAGCAGAAGGGCAGTGAAGGGAGACACTCCCCCCTTCTCACCAGGGTCCCCACCTTGGTCTCCCAGGATCTCTGCAGGGCCTCTTCTCTGAGAGCCCCTGGTGCAGACTCTCGGAAATCAATTAGGTGGCTCTTATTCCGTCGGATGTCATGTACCAGCATCACACCCCCACTAGGAGAGACACGGAAGGGGGAGGGTGATGATAAGATGCTACTCCTCTGAACAATTAACCTGCCGTTCCTCAAGCCCCCCACACTGATGGCTAAAGGCTCAGTCTGTCATCAGGAGTCAGGTGTCTGAGCTCCCTCCCCAGCAGAGATTCAGAGACTCAGCTACCCTATTAGGGTGGGGAGTGAAATCAAGGGGTTGGGGGACCCAGAGTCCATAGACCTCTTCCAGCCTGTTACTGGAGCCTTTAATCCCTGACAAGGGAAAACCCAGAGACTGGGAGAGCGGGATGTTCTGCTCCCCCTCCACCCCCACCTCCTACCACAGTTGGACCCCTGCCAGCTTCCTGCACCTGCCTCTGTGGTACGTCCCTCTCCCTCTCCCAGGACTGAATTATGTAAGGACAGACTGTACACAACCAAAAGTGGAATTTCTTTCATAGGGCCTGGAAGGCTGGTCTTTCAGGAGCCAAGATATGGACTTAGTCAGCTTGTCCCTTTTCTGTGGTTTGCTTCCATCTGAGACGGGGGTTACATCTGAGATAACTGGGCTGCCAGCTAACATAATAGGGAAAGCAGGACAGCTAAACAAAAGGGAGTGGTAGGAACTATGGCCAAGTGGACAGTACAAGCCCCATCATGGGAAACAGCTTCTATTCAGCTCCAGATAACTGCAGCCGGGTGAGAATGTAGGCCCGATGCTATTAGGTCTCCTGATTGTTCAAGAAATGTTAGAAATCTGGATTTTTATGAAAATTCTCAATTTTTTAACATCAGCAACCAAATTTTAAAAAATTTAAGTGTGCAAACTAAACCAGGCTGTGTGCCGGGTGTAGCCCGTGGGTGGCCGGTGTATAGTCTCTGTTTTAAGAGGTCTTACCCTGGGGTGTATTTTTTGAGGATAGAGGACCCATTGCTTTCATCAGACTCACAGGGATGTGTTTTAAGGATTTGTAAACGCTAAATGTTGAAGTATCACAGCCTTAATTAACGACAGCACACCCCCAACTGTGCGCCTCACTTTAGAGTTTATGAAATCCTTCTCCCAGTTAAAGAAAAATCTTCTGAAAACACCTCTTTGGACTCCATGTAAAGAGAAAGGGGTTAGATTGGGCGTAGAAAGAGAAAATGCAAGGAGATGGGGCCCAGTTGCCCCTCTGCTCAAACTTGGAGAAGCGCACATGAGGCCCACAGACCAAGAGACAGAAGGAGGCCTGGGGCACCCCAACCTCCGCAGCTGGGAGCTTCTTACCCGCCCAGGCCAGAACTGTGAGGAGCCACGATCCCCAAACACAGGGCTGCTGCCACAGCTGCATCCACGGAAGATCCCTGTTTACTGAGCACCTCTATGCCCAGCGATGTGCAGTGGGCGGCATCAGTCACCACAGCGCCCTGGTGAAAGATCTGGAAGGGGGAGGGGACTAGGTGGGGGCAGAAGGAGCCCCCTGCCTCCCTAAGGCACCTCCACTAACCCCAGAACCTCCAACAGAGGGTGGGGCTGGGAGCCCTGCCCTTTTATCCCCTTGACTCTCCCCTAAGAGTCTTCTTTCCTTACCTCAAGTGCCTCCTAGCTGATCAGTTCCCTTCTTTGAGCTCTTTCCGCCTCACGCCCAGGAGGCCCTCCCTTGAGACCTTCCTCTCCCATGTCACCGCCCTCTCCCCTTTCCATTTGCTGGCCCCCTTTCACCACACAGCCGGTCCTCAGTTCCCAAGGTCTCCTTAAGCCCTTCGTCACCCCTCCTCCCCAGGTTCTCTCCTCTCCCCCTCCGCTTCCTCCTCACCTGGGGGTCCCCGAAGTAGATCTGCATGATGAGCGCCACAGTGACACCGGTGGCAAAGGTGAGGCAGGCTGTGACGATGACCGTGAGCCCGTCCTGGCGGCAGGAGCACTCGGACGCTGCCGCGGAGAACGGGTCTTTGCGCGTCTCCCGCAACGGCGACCCATCCTGGCTGCCCATCTCCGACGACGACGACGGCAGCCGCTGCAGCCGCGCTGACTTCAGGAAGGAGTCCGGGTCTGCGGGTGGCGGGGGTCGGTCTGGGCGCCTCTTACCCGGCCCTACCCGCCCTCTAGGCGGGGCTATTCCGCGTCCCCCCACCTCTCTCGGCCCCCGCCCCTCCAGTCAAACTCCACTAGACAGCACTGCTCCCCTTTCAGTGTCTCCCCATGCACCCCAGGGAGGGCCGTGGGGGAGTGGGGGGTGGTCCTCGCTTGGAAGAGACAGGGACCCTCAACTGGGCAGCAGGGCGGCTGGATTCCCATCCCTAGGCCACATCGCCTGGGACCCGGGACCCAGGGCTGAGAACACTTCCTGGAGAGGCAGGGGTTGGGTCCTCCCTGGAAACCAGATCTTGCCTCAGCTGGGGCCCAGCCTTCTGTGCAAGGAGGCAGCTCCATAAACTGAGCGGAGGGGCCCTGTCTTCCAACCTTGTTTTCGCGATCCATCCATCCATTCATTCATTCAACAAATATGGAGGGCCTGCTATTTGTCTGGTCCCATGCTAGATGCTAGGGGAAAGGAACAAACAGTTCCTGCTCTCATGGGTTTTGAAAACCAGTGGAGGAAGAAGATAATAAACAAGTAAACAAAGGAGTATATCATTACAAGCTGTGGCAGGTGCTATGAAGAAAGAGAAGGATGACAAGGTCCTACTGTATAGCACAGGGAACTATATTCAATATCCTGTGATAACCATAATGGAGGGACTTCCCTGGTGGTGCTGTGGTTAAGAATCTGCCTGCCAATGCAGGGGACACGGGTTCGAGCCTCATCCGGGAAGATCCCGAGCCGGGATGCCACGGAGCAACTAAGCCCGTGCGCCACAACTACTGAGCCTGCGCTCTAGAGCCTGCGAGCCACAACTACTGAGCCTGTGGGCCACAACTACTGAAGCCCACGCGCCTAGAGCCCATGCTCCGCAACAAGAGAAGCCACCGCAATGAGAAGCACGCGCACCACAACAGAGAGTAGCCCCGCTCGCTGCAACTAGAGAAAGCCCACGTGCAGCAACGAAGACCCAACACAGCCAAAAATAAATAAATAAATAAATAAATAAATAAATATTTTTTAAAAGCCATAATGGAAAAGAATGTGAAAAAGAATGTATATATGTATAACTGAGTCACTTTGCTGTACAGCAGTAATTAACACAACATTGTAAATCAACTATACTTCAATTAAAAAAACAATAGAATTATAACAACAACAAAAAAGGATGAAATGATAGAGAATAATGGTACATGTTGGAGGCACTTAGCTGGGGAAGTCAGGCAAGGACTCTCGCAGAGGCGACTTTTAAGCTGAGAACTAAGGGAAGAGGAGCCAGCCATATGTAGAGCAAGGAGTGAGTGTGTAGAGTGTTCCGCAAAGAAGGAACAGCAGGTGCAAAGGCCTTAATGTAGGAATAAGTTTGGTGCATTAGAAAACAAATAACCAAGGTTGGGGTGGCTCTGGTGTGGTGAGCAAGGGGAAAGGAAAGAGTAGTAGGTGGAGGCTAGGGCAGATGTGCTGGGCCTTGAGGGCTTAGTGAGAAGGTTGGATTTTACCCTGAGAGCCACAGGAGGCCACTGGAGAGTTTTAAGCAAGAATGTGAAGCCTTCTGTTTTGTGTTTTAAAAAGATCCCTCTGGCTGCTATCTGGAGATTGGATGTAAGGATAATAAAAGTAGAGGCAGGGGACATTTGAAAGCTACTTACTTGCTGGGTGACTATGGACAAGTCATTTCAAGTCATGAGCCTCACTTTCCTCATCCTAATAATGGAGCTGATCCCTAACTGGCTGGATGGGTACAAGGATTCAAAAAGGTGATGTATACCAGGCACTCTGTAGGTGCTCACTCAAAGTTATTTCCATTTCTTTTCCACCCTGGCCAGGGCTAAGACCCTCTTCCATCCCATAGTTTCCCTCCTCTGGGATATATTAGCCTTGAACCCAGGTCTCTAAATGGTCTAAAGGTCCTGGGTGTTTGTGAATAGTAAAAAAATAGCCTGATACCTTGACCTTAATATGTGACTGTACTCACAATGTGTTTTTAAAAGTTCATTCATTCAAAATATTCTTGAACACTTGCTACTATGACCTAGGAGTATAACCCCTTTAAAAGTCTGTGGGATAATATTAAGAATTGACTGTTATATTTTCCTGTTTAAAATACTATCATGGTTCATCAGTGCCAAAATGATAAAAATCCAAGCTCCTTAACCTGGTGTTCAAGGACCTCCATAATCCATACTTCCCTCTTTTGTATAAATAAGAAACCACATACATATATGGATAATTTTTAGAAATTCTTCATGGTGTTACTTTTGGGGGAAGATACTGAATATGGGAATGAGATGGAGTGGGAGAATTTGTTTGAAATTTTTACCACTTACATATATTTCTTTTGTTTTTTAAAATCAATACATATATTTTTAAATAAATAGGAAAAACTGCAGGAGATAAGAATGGAGAAGAGGACTTTTACTTTTTCTCACTGTTCTTTTTTTTTCACCATGAACATATAATTTGTTTTTAAATTTCTATTTAATAAAAGAGACTTGTCTTCTGGAAGCCTCCCTCAGTTGATCATGCTTGCTTCTAACCCTCAGCACCAGCACCAGAGTCTGTAAATAAAACTGATTTACAGTTGATAAACTAATTCAAGTTGATATTTCCAGGCACTTGTCCTTAAATCTGTTTTCTCCAATCAGATATGAGGAGCCAGGAGGTGAAGATGCTATGGCCCCATCAGAGTTAGATATATTCAAGACTTCGTATTCTACCAATAATTTATTATGAATATATAATATAAATATAAATGAATATTGTTTTCCATTTATTCAATAAAAATATTTACTGAGTATCAACTGTGTAAGTGGTGGAGAAGCAATACCATTGATTTTGCTGATGTGTAAGGACAACAGCAGGACATTGGGAAAAGGCTAGTTTGGGACCAGAAGAAACAAGTCATTTGGGAGAAAAAGGATGAGTTTAATTTTGGCTATTCTGAATTTGTGGACAACAGCAGGAGCTGTCTGAAGGCAGTTGGCTTAGTAGGCATCTAATTTTTATCTGCTTAGTCACCATTCCCCACTCAATTTTCTTTTAGAGAACAGCAAATCCCCTCTCTCCTCCCTCATTCCCTCATTCCTGGTCAGAGTGAGTACATGACCTAGGCCTAGCCAATCAGAACAGGCACCTCTGTACAGTGATTGGTTCAGGTTCACGTGGCCAGCACCAGCACCAATGATTTTCAAACTCTGTTTTGTTTTGTTTTTTGCTAAAATATTGGGAAAGAGAAAGACTTTCTTGTCTAGGTTGCTAAGGTGGTAAGATGTAAGCCTGTTGATGCTGGGGACATCTTGCTCCCACAAGATGGGAGGTTTTCTGAAGATGAAGCCCATAAAAATGAAGGCAGAGCAAAAGATGGAGAAAATCCAAATCTTTTTCAGGTACCTCAATGCAGCTATGCCTGAAGCCCTATATCCTGAACTTTTCAGTTATGCTACCCAATAAAATTCTCTTTTTAGATGTAGCTCAGTTTTGGTTGGGTTTATGACAAATAAACCCTGAACAGAGTTGACTTTGTCCCTGGCTTGCTTACTCCTCTGAGGGGAGAATCACTAAAGATTTTTGAAACAGGGAGTGACATGATCAGAAATGCAGGGTGCTGGATGGATTGGGTTGGGAGGGGGTGGGGGAGAATCAGGAAGCAGGAAGAATAGCTAGAAGCCTATGGGTAATAGAGATAAGAGAGGATGGTGGCTTAGTCTACAGTGGTGATGACAGGGATGGTGAGATGGAATTTGGAAGATACTTAGGAGGAAGACAGAGAGCATCTGACCACTATTTAGAAGTGAGCAGAAGGAAGAGAATCATGGGTGGCTCCTAGGCTTCTACCTTGGGGACTGGACGGATGGCAGTGTCATTAATTGAGAATGACATTGGGGGAAGAACAGGTGTATGGGGAAGAGAGGATGAGTACAGCATGGAACATGTTGAAGGTGAGGGACTTTCGGGACATCTAGAGGCAGATGTCTGGGAGAGAGAAGAACACATGGGCCTGGAGCTCAGAAAAGAGCAAAGAAAGTTTTCGCCAGTCTTGGAGTGGTCACCATCTAGCTCTGTTTTCCAGAGGGCCTGCTGTGGGGTGCCTGGCACTTGGTTCTGTGGAATGGCAGGCTAGAGGCTAGCTGGGCACAACCAAAGTCCTGCATAAGAGGATGGGGCAGTACCATCAAGTGGCACCAGCAGGTTGAGAACATAGCGGGTCATGTTAGCCAGCAGGCTGGTCCAGCTGGGCCAGAGGAGCCTTGGGGCTTGGAAATAGTGCTGGGAGACATGGTATTGAAATGACTACACAGGTAGGATGGCAAGGTCCTTGGAACCTTAGTGCACAACTTGGCATAAGGTGCAGCTTCCTAGAAACTCAGGTGACCAGGGTCTCTACTGGATTTTTATACAGTTGAGGGCAGAGCCTGTATTAACTCCTCAAGGAACTCCCTGAGGTTTGAGAACTCCTTCCCTTGCCATTCTTTCATCCTGAGATCTTCTCTTTCATTCATTTATTTCTTCAACAGTTTTTATTGAAAGCTTAGCACTGTGCTCGATGGTGCAGAAAGGATGGTGAACAAGACAGTCATGATCCCATCCTCACAGGGCTTATAGACATGGAATAATCAAAGGTTGCACAAATAAATAATCACAGGTTTTGATAAATGCTAAGACATTCATAGGAAAGGAGGATAAAACATATCAGGGGTTTCCAATCTCTAGATTGGGAGAGATAGGCATTCCCAGTTGAGCTGGAAGAGGAAACTAAGACCTAGGTCAGGGTAGGTGTGCCCATTGTCACACAGTGAGTCAGGGCAGTGCTGGGACCATGAGTGGTATTCTTGGCTCCTGAACAAAGGACCTGGTTTCAGGCTGGTATCCACCAGGACACATCCTCCCACTTCTCTCCCGGCTACCTCCCGATTCCAGGGCTACTCCCTTCAGAAAAGAAGTTTTAATCTGCGGCTTTGACATGTGATGACCATAAGCCTCCCCACCCTCCCCTCAAACCCCCTCCAGGAAGGGTACAAGATAGTCAGGTTGGCAGGGGCTGCTGGTCAGGGCCAGGTGACTGGAGAATTGTGGAGGGGGAAAGAATTTGGGGCTGTCAGGCTAGGAGTAGCCACAGAAGGGCCGGGCCAGAGAGGGCTGGGCAAGAGAAGCAGGATCTGCCAGGCTGGTGAGGGATAGGGCTCAAGTGCAGGCACTGAGAGGAAGAGAGAGTGAAGTAGAAGGAGGCTCTAATGCCAGGAAGTGACGTTGAGGGAATGGGGGATGGAGGATGGAGGATGAAGAATGGAGGGGAGGACAGAGAGCTGAGCCACATGGACAGGGGAAAGAGCATTAGGGAAGAAATGCTCAGAGAGCTCTCAGCCCCAGGTGTCCCCCAAGTCCTGTCTCCTCCCTCCCTACTCCCACCCCTTGCAGTTCCTGCAGAGGGGCTGAAGAGAATACAGTAAAATTCTGAAGCCTGCTTCCTAGGGGGCAGGGTACCTTACTAACATCCTGGCCTGATCCACTGCTCTGGGAGGGGTGAGGTATCCACAGGGCAGTGAAGGTGCTCTGGTCCCCAAGGACTTTGAGAGGTCATGCAGTCCATCCCCCTGTCTCCCAGTACCCATCACTCGCAGATGGATGGGAATCGTATTCTCTTTACCCCTCCCGGGACACAAAGAGATTCTCAGCTTCTTCTCAAGGTCTCTCCTTCCCACAATCCCTGACTGTGGGGAAGTTCTTCTCAAGACCTAGCTTCTATCCATCCTGCTGCAGTCTCTGACTTGGTTTCTCCTACCCTGTTCTCTGTGACTAGAGAAAATCCTCTTCTAAGTGATCACAGCTGTTCCTTAGGAACTCCCTGCCAACATTCCTTCCTTATTAGTTGGTTCTTCCCAAGGGGGTAACCCCAACCCCTCCTACTGCAGTCCCTAGCATCGTTCTCCCTTGTCGCATCCTAAGCCTCCAAGGAAGAAATGCATCCCCAGCCCCACCAGATAATTAACAGAGACAAGAGAGGAGAAGGGAGAGGTCCAGGAGGAAGGGAATGAATTAGGGAGGTGGAGCTGGAGGTGTTGCTTCGCTTAGATGAAGGAGGACCGGGGACGTCCAAGGGGGCAGGGACGGGGCCAGCGGGCCTCACCGGTATCTGGGTCTCCCAGGAAGGCGTCCTCGTCCTTGCGGCTCCTCAGAGGGGCCGCGGGCAACGGCTCGTCCTCCGGCAGCCTCGGGAAGCTGGTGATGCTCATGTAGTCCACCGGTGAGTAGGCGCCCAGGGCGCTCTCCTGACTGGCCTCGTTCTCTGCCGCCATCCTCGCCCGCGCCCCCAGCAGCGCAGCGCCTGCCGGAAGTGGGGCGGCGGGGGCCGGGCTGGGGCTTAGCTGGGGGGGACGGTGGGGAGGAGGGAGGAGGGCGGGGCCTGAGCTCCTGGACCGCCGAGAGGGGGCGCCTCAAACCCAGACCCTGGAGGGTGTCGGGGTTTGACTCGGCCCCGTCTGCTTAACGTTGTCAGCCTGCATTGAGAGCGCAGGTTGGGGTGTGGGTGTGGATGCAGAGCCTGGAGGACGGGTCCGGGTCGCGCAGTCGGGGGTCAGGAGGGAAGAGCACGCGGTAAGCGCGACCTTAGTGGCTCGGGGCACCTTACGTAGCCCAGGGACCAAACCCCTTCCTCCTTCCAGTTTGAGCTAGGATCCTCCTCAGACTCCAGGCTCCTTCCTCTGCTCGCAGTCCCTTTCACTGCCTGCAAACCTCCTGTCGACCCCAGATACTGTCTCTAATGCCAAACTCCTCGAACCTCAGACCCCTCCTTGGACTCCAAGATCCTTATCTTCCTATCTCAGACTCTTCCTCCGACCCCAGACCCCTCTTTCGACTTCAGACTCCACCTTCACCCCTGACCCCCAGCCCCAGCCCCTACTCCGTGCGCAACCTGCTTCATTTCGAGGCCCGTCCTTGGACATCTCTCCTCGGACGTCAGATCCTTCCCTGGACCCCGCCCCCCCACACTTCGTCGACTACTCTTTCAATCACAACCGCTTCTAGAACCCCTGACCTATCAGCATAGGGCAGTGAGCCTAAACTTGAGGTTGTCTTAGGACCAGCTTAAAAGCGGATCCCTAGATTCCACTTTAGCGATCATGATTTAATTGGCTGGAATGGGGTCTCTGGAACTTGCATATTTACCATTATTTAAAGAGCTTTTATTTTATGTGGTTCTGGAAAGGAAGCTTTGAGAAAGAAATCATGGTGGTGGTGATATGGTAGGAGTGGGCTGGGTTGGGGGAGGATAAAGGGGTAGGGAATGGGTCTAAAGTCTAGGTATCTGGGTTCTATTCCCTCTGCTACAGCTTACAAACTGTGTGATCTTGGGCAAAACACTTAATCTCTTTGAGTATGGGTTTCTTCATTTGTAAAATGGAGAGAATGACTGTATCCATCTCTGGGTTGTGAGGACTAAATGACACACGGGAAGTTTTTAGTATATGGCTTGACACCTACTTAATACAGTAAATGCCATAATCATTATTAACATTTTTTTCTTAATCTCGTGGATTCTCATCTTGTCCAACCGGATCCATCCTCTTCTCACTGAGGAATTCCAACTACACCATAGTTTGCACTACTACCCCATTTCCAGGGATGGGGTGTTGGTTCCCTATATTATTAGGCCAGACTTCCATTTCACAGTCCACAGGCAGAGGGAGGGGACTGGTCAAGCCCCTAGCCACACATCCCCTCCTTCCCCAACCCCAGGCTCCAGGCTCAGAGATGACCTGAACTGCTTGTAAATCCATTATGGGCCCAGCATCTGCAGTGCCACCTGTAGACAGGAGAGGGCAGCAGTGTGTTGGGAACAGCTCTGGGGCCTGAAAGAACGGCTGGGAAGAGAGGGGAGAAGGGAGAGGGCTGCCCAGAACTTTGTGTGTGGGATGGAAAGATGACCATTTATACTAGGACTGTGTGCCATTGCATGTGCCTTTCTCTTCACAGAGGTTCCTATCTCCTCAGTGAGGTCCATAGGGCTTATTATGCTTCAGTGAAGTCTGATCCCCTGAGTAGGGTCTGTCCCCACTAAATAAGGTCTGTGCCCCCTCAGTGGTGTGCATTCCCTCAGTGTAGTAAGAGGCCCTTCAGTGGGGTTGAGTCCTCTCAGTGGGGTTCATGTCTCTTTAGTAAAGTCTGTATCTTTTGTATCTCTTTGGAGGAAGCCCATGTCCCCTCAGTAAGGTCAGTGACCTTCAATGCCATTCATGTCCTATTAGCAGGGTCCACAGCCCTTTCAGTGAGATCTGAGATGCCCCCGTAAGATCTGTGTTCCCTTAATGGAGTCCATGTACCTTCAGTGAAGTGTGTGCCCCTTTTGTGCAGTTAATGCCTCCTCGATGAAGTATCGTCTTCTCAGTGGGGTCCATGTCTATTCTATGAGGTCTGTAACCCGTCCGGGAGCCCTGAGACCCTTTCCTTAGGATTGGGTAGGCTCTGGATCAAGGTCTGACCATGGGGAGGTTTGTTTGTTTGTTTTTCCAGTTTAGGGTGTGCTGGCCTGCGACTAGCTGGACAAAGAACAAGAGAGCAGGTGGGAAGGGAGGCTGGGCCAGGTGGGGTCCTGTGTAGGCTTTAGGAAGTGGGGGCTGCCTGCTTCCGGGCCTCAGAATCACTCTTGGAGTTAGATACTTAAGGATCCTTCCTGCCTTAACGGCCATTCTGTGAACCGATGGGCAGGAGTGGGCCCTTCTTGGTGGTAAGTGCAGGTGGGAGATGGAGGGTCCTGGCTGGTCTTTCCTTTCTGGAGTGGAAGGGATAGAGGGAAGCCAGAGGTATCTGAGCCCAGGTGTGGCAGGGGAGGGGTCTCTTGGTGAAGTAAGAGACTGGGAAGGAAAGAAGGGTGTGATTCCTTCTACTTGCATAGACTTTGTCATTTCACAAGCCTTAGCGTCAGCCTGATGAGGCGGTAAAAACACCTGGAGTCAGGAGACCTAGGTTTGGCCCAAGTTACGGTCGTTGTTTTTTTCTGTGACCTTGTACAAAGCCCTCCCTTTCCCTGAGTTTACCATTTATGCAATGAAATGGGTTTACTAGCAAAGACTGAAGGCGCCTCCTAGTCTTCACTTAATGAGTCTTTGCATTTTGGGTCTGGAAGGAAACTCGTAGATCCTGTCACAGCTAGCCTCGCCACTCCCCGTCACTCCATGCATGGGCCCACCCTCTCTCCCGTCACGCCTGGCCCCTCCCCTTCTGCTTTCACGCTGCGGTTCCACCCCTTCCGCAAGTCAGCTCCGCCCCATCCCCCAAGCAATGTTCGACTTTTCCCTATCGGTCTCTTTGCTAGCCCTGGTCCCACCTCCACCAGGCATGGCTTCACCCCTCCGGGCCGCCTCCCCCGCCACATGCCTAAGCCACGCCTCTGCTATCAGGCCCCGCCCTTCTCTGAAGGCCCCGCCCCTCGGTCGGCCTGTTTTCCCCCTCCTGGCCGCCCGCAGAGACCGCCAAGGCTGCTACGGTGTTCGGAACTTGAGGTTATGGGGCTTCCCGAGGAGCGGGGCCGGAGCGGCGGTGGAAGCGGGGTCCGGGAGGAGGCTGGAGCCCGGAGCCGGGCGCGGAGTTGGTCTCCGCCGCCCGAGGTCAGCCGTTCCGCGCACGTCCCCTCGCTGCAGCGCTACCGCGAGCTGCACAGGCGCTCCTTGGAGGAGCCGCGAGGTGAGGCCGGGCCCGGGCGGGCCTGAGAGACGTCAGGGAGGAGAGAAGTGGGGGGCTCACAGGAGAGTGAGGAGTTGGGGTTCCCTTGGGAAACTGAGGGGTCCGTGAGAAGCTAGAGGTTTTGTGAGGGAAGAATTGCGGTTCTTTAAGGAGACGGAAAAGGGGTTCCGGGAGGAGAGGGGGGTTCTCTGAGAAGGAGGGTTCTGTAGGAAATGAGGGTTCCCTAGGAATTGGGGGGGTTCCTTGGCGGCTTGGGGGTTTCGTGAGGAGATGCAGGTTTTGTGAGGAGAGTGAAAGTGTCCTAAGAAGAGAACAGTTCCTCAGGTGAAAAGGCGGGTTCTTAAGGGCGTAGAGCGCCTTGAGGAGAGGCGGGCCACAAAGAGAATTTTCTTTGCTGCTTTTCAGACCAGCGTACCCAGTGCCTCCTGACACCTTTAACCTGTGAGTTAGTCTCCACTGCTGAGGGGCAGGCAGTAGGGTCCCATCCCGGGGTCCCCAAATTAGTAATGGAGTCCCAGATCTATTTTTAGTATTTTAGAAATGCCAATGGAAACTACCATATAAGACTGAACAAGTCACTAAAATGTTGTCTTTTAAAAAAAAAATTAGGGATGGGATTGTAATAACTCAGAAATTCTGATAGGTAGTTCCATGTCTTTAAGAACGTGTGGGGAAAATTCCCCATCTGTGCCCTCAAGCTGGGTTAGGGGTCACAACTGTAGCTGAGGTGGGAGGCAGCATGATGTTGGCAGTGGGACAAGCATGAGCCACCGAATCAAACTCAGAAAAATCTAGATTTAGATCCTGGCTCTACCACTCATTTACTGTGTGGCCTTAGGCAGATTTTAAAACCGGTCTGAAATTCCTTTTCTTTATCTATAAGACAGAGGTAATAATACCTGCCTCACAGTTTCGTTTGAGGGCAAAAATGAGTAATAAGTGAAGTGTGCATTATAGAGTGCCTGATGCACAGTAGTGTTCACTAAATAGCGGTTAGTCTGATAACAATAAGAACAAAGTGGATGAAGCAATTATTGAGTAATGCAAGATGAGACTGAATCAAGTGTAGAGTGGTTGATTGCTGCATGCAGTGTCCAAGTTTGAGTCCTCAGACCTCTTTTATTTTTTTAAGGTGTTCATATAGATATTTATTGACTAAATTTGCCTACATAGTGTCTTACTGCTCATTAATGTATACCACACCTTAGACAAATATTACACTTAAAAGAGTCAACTGGTTGGTAATTCTTGCCTTGCCAAAAGTTTCTACTCTTTATAAAAGAATTCACAGTAGGCTTCCTTTAATAGGGAAATGAGCCAACATCTTTAAATAAAAACACAATCACATGGAACTTTCATAAAACACACTTATATCACACACCTGTATCCACCAACCATTCCAGGATTCTGACTTTTTGGGATAACACTGTGTTTTTCTTGGGATTCTCTAGGAATAAAATATAAAGACCAATTAATATACTGGTCCTATAATAATATCATATCTTCATTTTTCCAATGGAGACTGCCTGGTTGGCTCTCAGAGAGGTGATGTAATCTATAGTCTCACCCCCTAATCTAAGTTCACTTTCAGGTTAGATGTCCCCAGCTTGTTTCT